AGAAATTTTAGTTTACATTGGTCATCTTTTGGGAGATTTAATTTGAATGGGAATTATCCGTTGGATTTTATACATATCGAATTTAGTTGTCTTGAATTGATGGTATTAGGATAGAGATGCACACGCATTTCCAAGTTAAATAGTATCTAAGAAAAATATATTATCTATTTATTTTTTATCAAAACTTCCCTAATTGTAACATTCGTCAAACTCCAAAAGGCCTTGCAACAGACGAATGCACAAATTAAAGAGGCTTAGTACATAGTACTTGTTTTTAAAATTGACTTAGATTTATTGCTTTTTCATTTTTCTTGGTTGATGATCAGTTGTTCTTTCTTTTGTTTGTGACTAAGTAGATGATTTTCATGCATTTCAACTTGCTTGGATTTATCGCCTTTTCATTTTTCCTAGTTGAGGATATATTCTTCTTTCTTTTGTTTGGGACTAAGTAGATGATTTTCATTCATTTCAATTTCATTTCTACCAGTGCTTACAATAAAATTCGCCCTTCTTGGGCATAAATGCACAGCCAACTATTAAAAGTATTGGATATTTATCTCATTGGCTTGATTTAGAGGGATCTGCTATGAACTTTAATTATATGGGGGATACTATTTTCATAAGGAAAACTTACTTTGTATCTCAATTTAATGAAAGGGTGGCCCATGATTATCATCTTTTTTGGGTTATCTATGGTATTTATTATTTTGCATGAGAATTTGGTTTAATGAATGGGGACTTGCAAAATGGGAACTAGGTTTCACGAATGCTGATTTAATTGTATGGGGAATAGGGTATAAGTGTAGGTTGGTCATTGTATTTTGTTAGAGGTATTTTGGTCAAAATCAAGGGTCCACAAGGGGGTTTTAATGTACTGTACAGGCGCAGTTATTGATGTTATTTTGATTTATGGAATTGAAAGACATTCCCTCCTTCTTTGGCGTACTAGAGAAGGCCCCTACTTTGTGTAGAGGTGCAGCCCTACTTCGAGTAGTGACGTGGTTAGGGCTGGAAAGGCCCTTGTTCCTTTCCCTTTCTTGATGGTGATCTAAGATGTTTCCCTCTTGTTGATCGACAGGCATGATCGACAGGTTGTTGTTGTTGAATCGGTCTCGGATATCTCCTTTATGGGTGTTGGTTTTGCACCGCTGTGCGTTAAAATTGGGGTTTTGCAATCAACCGACAAGCACATAAACTGTTATGAGAACAACTCAAGGACATGGTCGTTGTATGTTTGATGAAGTTATTGTGATATCCTCGATTCATCCACTTAAACATGCTAGAACTGCCTAATTTCAGCAATTTACACTCATTGAAATTGCCTCAGTTCAGCGGCAAGTTGCTAAGTACAGTGATAATTTGATGAGATAAGGGTTTCTCTATGGTCCGTCTATTTAAGACCACAAAAAAAATTATGCTCGCACAACGAGATTACCTCTCCTCAGGTTATGAGGTGAATTATAACTACAATTGGATACAGATCCGCCTTTGTCATGAACGACCAAACATCATTTAAAGCGGGTTGGCTTCACCTCATCCACCAAATCCTCAAATCTCCTTTGATTTGACCTTTTTTACATCCCTCGTACACCACTTGCTCAATTCTCATCAGATCATTTTATTCCCTCACAGATAACTTTGTCACCACCACATCCATGAACTTGACCTCTCTAAACGCCATCGAGCAAACTTGCAGCAAATGCTCATGCGCTTTGGGAACGGGTCTGCTCTAATACCAGATGGTATGGTGGAAAGAAAAAAGAGAAATAGAAAAATCAAAGATCGAATTGATTGAATAACAGGAAGCTTACGATTCAAGCTTCTAGCTCTCTGGTGAAACCAGGATTTTGAACAAAATGATATCTAAGTCTGAAAGCAAAACCCTGAATACGACCACTATTTATAATAAAAGATCTTACTTAAATTCCAAGTAATCCTTATTCTAATTGAAAAAAAAGAAGTCTTGATTACAACAAAATTTTTGATAACATTTTTACCCTTGATAAAATAAATATTTCCATAATAACTCTTAACTAGCTTAATCAAGCATTGATGTTGAGGCCTATCCAGCCTGTTCACCAATTGGCTTCATGCCCAAGCCCTCAATCAAGCCTATCCTTAGCCATATATTCCACCCCTCGGCCTACCTCTTCACCCTTAATTCCACCTCAACCTCCTTTCCCCCCTGGCTATCATTTTTTCCACATTCCCCCTCTGAAGGTCCCCTCCCCCCTCTGCTACCGTACAATCTCAGTGAAGAGCATCCTTCTCCCCCACCCACACATCTTTCCCTCCCCTTTGATAACCCCTCTTCCTCCTATTCCTCGGAATCTTGTTCACCGGTCTCTGTGGACTCTAGCTCTGTGGATGCAAAGCCCAAGGCAATCCTCACGAGATCCTTTTAGTGATGGGCTTCCTGTTCAACAACCCTCATGAAGCCTTTGAAGCCTTCATCAATACTGATAGCGAATCTAGACGCCAGTGTAAGTTGAAGAATGTCAAAGGTAAGGCTCCTGCCACCAATTCGAGAGCATCCTGGGAGCTTTCCAAACTATTTCAAAGTAAGATACGAGAAAAGAGAACCTTCAGCTAAGGTCCTCCCTCTCTCTCCCAAATTTAGAATATTTGGGGTTTTCCCTTGCCAGTGGTTAGCTCTGGATGCAATAGGACCTTCTGGCGGTATTTGGGTCCTCTAGTACCCATCTCAACATGCCTTAGTTGCCTCTCACATTGTCAAGTTCTCTATCACAGTGACCCTAGCTAGGATCACAGATTTCCTCCATTGAAAGTGCATTGTGGTCTATGGACACATCAAAGCGTGTGAGACTGGCCTGCCATGTCAATAAAAAATCCTAATTCTTTTATTCCCTCTTTCACAAGCATGCACATGGACAAACAAACATTTATATTATTTGATCACATCCGCACCCACTGACTCACCATGCTTCAGATGGTAATGAAATCCAATAAACAACTCCTAATCAGACGAGGGGTGCTCCATCATGATAAATTCATGCTTGGTATCACGCTATTGAAGGTTTACTCGAGTACTTCTACTTCTGGATTCTAGAACAACTAAAACTAGCTATACTAATATATAATGTCCTCTGATGTCATTTCACATATACTTGAAACAGGCTTCGTAAGATTTGTTTCTTGTTGATCAGTTTTCTTTAGAAATCTCTACTAATGACCGAGTGCAAAAGATATGAGTAAGAGATATCTCAAAAAGATCTAAGGACATTAGATGATCTCTCTTGTTACCTTATTCTTTTCCTCACGAAATCATGGGGTAGACCCTATCTTGGCTGGAGCATTATGAAAAAGCTTGTGACTGATAGATTTATTACATGAATAATCGCTTTGTCAGACTACAGTGGAGAATTATGATGCATGTGGATTTATTTTGTTTGGGTTTTATGCCTAGAGGATTCATAAGAAGATTCAAAACTTTTTGCTACATGATCCATCTATTTGGTTTCATTTCACCTAGAATTTGGTCAAATTTGGTTAGTTGTTCATATTTCTCCCTCTTATTGTGTGTGTGTTTGTGAGAGAGATAGATAGATAAATAGACAGATAGAGAGAGAGCGAGAGAGAGAGAGAGAGAGAGATTCATAGATGATATGAATTGCATCCTAAGACGCAAATAATTTTGTTGACCTGGGATTCGATTCATGCCCATAATCGGATGGCAACCTGCCAATGGAACATTTGGTAGTATGAAACGTTGGGATTAGCGACCACAAAAGTATAAATAGCCATTGAATATGGAAAATGCAACTTTGTATACTATTTGTTTGCCTTTGCTGGTTGCATTATAGATATTTGTTGTTTGTTTTGTTAAACAAGATGGTTTCTCTGGCAGTTAACTTTTTCTTAAAAAAAACAAGATGGTTTCTCAGTTACCTCTATTGTTAAATCCATGTAATTTTTTGCAGGTGGTAGAGATGGGATTTACGCTAGTAGTATTGGCTCATATTTGGGACAATTCTGTGCCGGATGAAAAGACCAGTATGTTATGCCAAGTGTGGAGGTCTTGTTGTTCAACCATTGCATGCATGTTTTCAGCTCTGCTTCAGGAAGCTTGGTTGCGTGCTGTACAGGTACTATTTTATATTGTTATTGGATATTTTTTATCCCCTTAGGCTGGAGGAATATCCAAATAACTGGTTAGAGCTCGATTTTTGAAATTGGGATATTCTCTGTGTGCTGTAGTCTTTGGTGGTATGTGCCATTATAAGTAATCTTGTAACGATTTCTCACCATTTCCGCTTAGTTTTACTGTCCTTTTATAGATTTGTTTCAAGCACCTCATTCATTATACATTCTCCTTTTTCTCCTATATATGCATAGTAATTTTCAAATTTTGAGTACTTGTTACTCACATGGTTTAACGAGTGAACAGTATATATGCTTATTTTATGTAATTTTGACTCTCTTTTTTCATGTATCCCCTGCAAAATTACTAATCTTGAATTTTCTGCATCACGAACATGCATAGTTTAGTATTTCACCCCCATCATGATGCATGGAGGACATGTCCATCTTCGATGCCATTAAAGAAGTTGTTCATTTGCATAGAGGGTGTAGAGTTGTCAGCCCCACCTGCACCTCCTATTTCCAAGCGTTCAATAATCGAAGGCATCGATGCATTTATCAGCGAGGCTATGGAAGGATACCATGCTGAAACATGGAGAGCTTGCTTCTGTGCACATGTTTTGCTCCATTTGCCAAGGTTCTCATTTGAAACTGAAGGAACTAAGCAGGCATTAGCAATTGTTTTTTGTAAAGCTTCATTTTCACATTCTCTTGACATTAGAAGCAAGCCAGTGGCTTTGAGGAAACCCTTTTTGCTGGTTATTGCTGCTCGTTATATATATTGCCCTGGTTATATAAAAAAGGTTTTGGAGAAGGATGAGGATGAAGGTCTCACTGGGTGGGTCTCACTGTGGAGTCAGGAGAATCTAAACTTTTCTATTTTCTTTTCATTAATGGACGTTCTTGTCCTAAAAAATCTGATCTCATGTTGTATTGTGTAGACATGTGAAATGGATTGCTTGGGCAATGTAGCGTTTGGCATGTCATTGTGGCATGAACAATCGTAGCCATCAATTTGAATCAAACAGCTAAGAAGTGGGGTCACGTATAACTTCTATGTTGTTTGGGTCACACATAAAACTTTCCCTATCCATTTTCACTTGGTTTGTTGAATTAATAGAATAAATCCTTTGTGTTATTATAATAAACTTCATTCGCGGGCAATTAAATCTTCCTTTGTTGAAAACTGACTTCCATGTTACTATGGTTTTCTTAGTTTTCTTAATGATAGCGATATCATTATTGTCTCATTATGCATTTTCCTTTGATTGCAAGAGGAACTTGTTGATAGCAGTAAGCATTGGGATGACTTGGAGGAAGAGGAGGAACATATGGAAGAAGAGGAATTGGAGGCCAGTATCCAATCAGATGCCAGCCTCTCTCTCTCTCTCTCTCACTGCTGTATTAATAAATTGAGTTTTTTAAGTTCCCCACAGTACACCAACTGGTGTGAAGGCACCTGACGTCATTGATCTTCGAAAGCAATAAAGGAAAGAGCCAGGGAAGCCTCTTTACCAAGTAAGTACATCGAAAGATTTTGGGCCCTATCTTCCAGTGAGCTACATTATTGGTCATCTTTTGATTTTCATTTTATTCTTGTGGAGTCCAACACTCTATTTCTCTTGTTCCAAATAAGGTACTCGAGGAGAAGGAAGAAAGGATTGCACCAGAAACCTTACTCAGAACAATGCACATGTACGTCTACACCTTAACTAGCTGCTTATCTGACTATCATTTTCATGAATTTTAGGACTTCTTTTGTGCAGTTTCTTATTTCTCATTGTGTGAGTTTTTTTTTTTCCTTTTTGAGAGAGGGTTTATCATAGGGAAACTCTTGATTAGCATTTGAGAACTTTTTTCCTTGGACAGGAATGTGCTTGGGGCAATGGATAAAACTGGTCCTAAAAGGGTAAACAGATTTATTCTTTTGTATGTTGGTGTTGCTCTGAAGCACTTAATGATTTGTTGGCTAGATTTATATATGAAATTCTTTCGACCTCTTTTCAATTATCCTCTGCATTTTGTCATACTGATTCTAGATGATCTTTACCCAGGTTGAGCTACTATTAGGACAAAGTGAATTAAAGGCTTTGGATGATGTTACTTTCGCAGCAAAGTAAGGTATTTTTTTTTATAATAGGAGGCCAGATTCTTGATGTGTTGTTTGATGCATGCATACAAAGTTTTATACATAGTTATTCATTAATGGGTGACATGGTTTATGTATGAGGAAGCAAGGGAAGAAGAGAAGTCATGAAATCAACGCGAAGAACTTCAGTGACCTGGTGGCAGAGGTTTGTTCCGAGTGCATTCTAGAGTGTTCACTTTTCTTTTCTTTTTTGTTAATTTTTTGAACTCTATGTAGGCTAAGAAAAAGAGGAAGCGCAAGATGTAGGAAAAAGGAAGGGAAGGCAAAGAAGGATTTCAAGTTTTAAACACAAAGCTATACATCAAATTCGCATAGCATGAATGCTCCCCCTCGCTCATTGGATATATTCTGTTTGGTGAATATATTGTGAACTATGAAATTCAAAGGATCTGACACATTGAAAGTTCTTATTGACATGTAAAATGTGAAGTTCTTTGGTCAATCTTGGGCCATCTTGGTTCGATTAATGAATAGTTGTACTATTGAGGTAGGAGTGATGTTTAAAAGGAATTTGATTAGTGAATCCATTTTGAGATCATCGATGAATCTTAACTGCGCCTGAACTTGGTGGAAAGTTAGAAGTGGTTTTATTTTCTTTAGGGAAGCCAGGACCTATATAAAGCATGAATTTCTCAAGGTTCGCCTGTGTGATGTTCTTGTTTTTATGTTTTGCTTCTTATTTTGTGTCAACGAGCCACAAACACGACCTAAAGGAGCATTATTATCAGCATAAGAAATGTCCATTGTTGGCATGAATTAACTGGGTGCGTGCCATAATTACCGACCCAAGGAATAATTAAATATCGGCATATCAAAATTTTGGTAATAAATCGGTTTTATTTTAAAAGGTTGGAGGAAAAAATCGGTTAAAAAATATGGATCACCAAAAAAAAAGGTCACTTGTAGAATAGTGAATATTTGGGATTGGTTAAAAAAATGTAGTGAAAAAATCAGATATGTAAAGATCATAGTTGGTAAGTCTCCCATTTAAAACACGATTTTTTCAATAAATCTCCGATTTTTTTAAATCCGTAAAAAACTCTTAGTTTTTCAAAAGATCTTCAAAAAATCGTTTTTTTTTAATAGTGCAGATATAAATTTGCATTTTATCTTCTCTAAAAAAAAACTTAATCCCTGTAACTTTATTTATTTATTAATTTAATATTATTTATATTTGGTGTAAAGATAAGTAAAGTAACAATGAGTAAATTAAAAATCTTGATTTAACAAAAAATACTTTTTTCATTTTGTACATATTTAAATTAATTTTTTAGTTTTAACAACTTTTATATTAATAATTTTTTAGTACAATTTTTTTAGTACAATTTTTTTAGTACAATTTTAGTACAATTTTTTAGTACAATTTTTTTAGTACAATTTTTTAGTACAATTTTTTTAGTACAACTTTTATATTAAAAATTATTAATATAATTTTTTAGTTTTAATAATTTTTTAGTTTTAACAACTTTTGTACACATTTAAATAAATTTTTTAGCTTTAACAACTTTCATATTAATAATTTTTTCACAGATTTATCAATTTTCTCGAACTCGACTCGGCTTTTATCCGCGCTAAAATGAGCTCGGCGCGGTGCGAATTATATCAGCTCGGCTCGGCTAATGTCGGCTCAGCTCGGCTAATATTGGCTCGGCTCGGCTAATATTGGCTCGGCTCGGCTCGGCTCAGCAAGTGAAACTTTATTATAAAATTTATAATGAACCTCTACGCTGAGCTGAACCTAATTAAAATAAGCCGAGCCGAGCTGATAGCAGCTGAGCCGAGCTGATATCAGCCGAGCCGATATCAGCTGAGTTGAGCCAAATATCAGCCGAGCCGTACCGACCAAGCTAGCCAGTCCTTCCACAACCTCCATTTTTATTAAAAAAAAAAAAGGGGAAAAACTTCTTCACCCCGTTTTCCGTTGTGTCCGTGTGTGAAGTGGGAGATTAGTTTGAGGATTGGGATTCTGAGAAACTTGTTCACTGCCTTAGGTTTATGTGTCATGAGAAAATGATGGTGGTTTGTTTCTTGACCACTATGAGAATAAATAAATGGAATGGCGACTGCTTCAATTGTTGAGAGAAAGAGAAGTACATTTGTACCAGTTAGAAGAGAGAAAGATTTGCATTCTTTCAAAGCGAGAGAACATAAGGAGATTGCAGAAAAACACATAGAAGAAGGAACAAGTGGAAAAGGAAACGATGCGGTAGTTCTCTTTCTAACTGATCATCAATTAAGAGGATAAGGGGTTTGCTTTGCTTTGCCTACATCTGTGTAACTCTGATATGCAAGAGAGAGGGAAAATGCCTGGCCAGGAGCAAAAGGGCATATGCTAGCATCCTGACCTCCACCACTTCCTTGGGCTCACTCTTTAATAAAGGTGTATCTGATGCGAGAGGAATTTGAGTTGCTTGACGTCTTGTTTTCATTTCTTTCAGGCTCTTAGTAAAGTTTTTGCTTTTAGATAAATACAACCACAAGAATTAGAATGAAAGAAATCCATCACCAAATTTCATAAATAGAGCCAATGCAGTGGACAACAAAAGTAACCCTCGACAAAACCAAACTAAAGTTCGGTAATTTGGATACAATTTATGAAGAAACTGTTGATGCCCCAAGTAGTTCAGTTGGAAATATGCAGTATATCACATTGCAAATAGAGGGGGCAAACCAGAGATTTCCACTTCCTGTGCATTGGTTCCTGAGTCCTTCGGCAACTGTCAATGCCACTGAGAGTATGGATGTTGCCAGGAGTGGGCATTTCTTTCTGTTGGGTCTTGAAGATATGTCTGCATTATGCACTGAAAATCCAAGTTCACCAATTTTACATGTTCCTTTGGTTTGGAAATTACATGCACTGGCCATGGTTTTCCTCAAAAGAAAAGACATTCTTGAAGAGAAGCAAACCAGAGATACTCTCAAAACTTTACAGGAAAAGTATGGGCAACGTCTGGACAAACTGAGACAAAGAAGACCTGAAGTCGTTCCTGAAAATGAAAAATCCTCTGGTGTATATAGCAGAGAAATCCTTTACTTCGTAAAAGAGGTCCATGAAAGTTATGGCTCATTTATTGAGATCCCCATTGAGCAATTCAGTGTTGTATCCTATTTGGCCAGCAATTAGGTGTATATCTCCACCGTACAGTAGAAGTGCCAGTCAGACTTGCTGCATAGAAAGCACTATCCAATGCCCATATTTTGGAACTTTTTCCGCCTATAAATGATTGCATTGCTGAGATTGAAGGATATCTGATCCCTTTTGAGGTACTGGATTAGACTTCTGTTTGCTTCCATGCCCCGACTTTACTTCATAATGGCATCCTTTGACAAAGCTCTGTCTCTGACTTATGTTATGCACTGTTTTTTAGTGAGAGAAAGAGAAGTACATTTGTAAATAGTTAGAGAGATAAAGGTTTGCAATCTTTCAGTGAGAGAGAGAGAACATAAAGAGATTGTAACAGAAATACAAATAGAAGAAGGAACAAGTGGAAAAGGAAATGGTGCAGTGGTTCTCTCTCTCTCTAACTGATCATCAATCAAGAGGATAAGGGGCATATATGTGCAAAGTTTGAATGTGCAACGGTGTAACTCTGATAAGGCCACTGTTTAATTTCTAGAGAATCATCGATGCACTTCAATTTTCAGCTTTTCTGCTGCCTGACTTATGTCCTTG